GGGGAGGAGGAGGGGGAGGGGGGGGGGCGCTTTGCTGCAGCTCCAGCACTGAGTGTGAATGCGTTTAGAGCTGAAATAACCTCGCTGACCACAAGTGCAAAGGACGCCCCCTGCCGTTCAAATAACAGTAGTACTGCGATGTGTTCTATATGTAGTATACTGACAATAACGATTCTATAACACACTGTTCTTGACAGCAGACTCACACACACTCACACACACAGACTCACACACTCAGACTCACACACACTCACACACACAGACTCACACACACTCACACACGGGCTCATTTTAAATCAAGTCTACAAACAGAAAAATCAAAGACTGGGGGGGCGGGGGGTCGTCTTATTCTTAAGTCAACAAAATAACAGGAAACACAAATTTGCAGAAGAACAGTCAGTGACGGTGATATAAACAACCACCACACAACAGTCAAAATACAACGTGAACAACCACAACAGTGACGTTCGTGACTAAAACGTTAAAAAAGGGTTTTAGAAAAGACCAGCGGTCAACGACAAACGACCAAGACCAGAACGTCACAACGGAATGTCATGTTTGGCCTACGACCCCCCCCCCCCCGACCCCCCCATCCTGAGGAGAGAACGACAGACAACAAGACACCGTCTTTGGACAAATGTCTTTGTCTTTGGAAACGAGGAGTGAGATCTTCATCTGGAGTTAACACCTTTGAAAACGCCCTCATGAACAAACTCACTGTTACCCCTCACCTGACCCCCCCCTCACCTGACCCCCCCCCACACACTGACCCATTCTCCTTCCACTGAAGAGACTGTGTTGTGTTTGTTGCAGCAGATCATTGATTGGTTCACAGTTGAAGTCCACATCAGTTACTAGTCATAGTAGACAGGTGAGTCTCACAGGGTCAGGGTCAGGGTCAAGGGTCGGGTCAGGGTCAGGGTTTTGACTGACGTTCTTCCAAATCAGTGCAGCATTTGTTTTTTATTCAACGGGACTTGAACTCCTGACCATCTGAGCAGCAGTGATGAAACCATGAGGGACGTGCAGTCTGAGTGTGTCCAGCAGGGGGAGAAAAGGATGAGTTAGTCACTAGTTTTCTTTCTTGAACTCCAGTCGGAATCAGACCAACAATCACTGATCTCCATGATGTAGGTTGATTTTGTGACCCACAACTAGGTGGCGCACCACAACCAACCCTGACCTGTTCATGGTTCAGTTTGAACTTTCTCTGAGTTCGATGAATGGAGACGAAACCCAGTCAGACATGGGTGAGGGGGGATTGGGGGGGTTGGGGGGCTGTGACAGTGGAACATCAACCCAGCTGTCGTTCCTAGATGAGGAAGAACCTGGAGACGAACGTCACCGTCAAACAACCTACGAGAGCAGCACTTCTCTGCTTCTCAGAGGTCGAGACGGCGACACGATGATGTCATCGGAGTCGTCAGAGTCGCCTGCCGTGGATCCTCCAGACTCGGCCTGGTCACGGACCTCCGTCTGGTCTGCTGGGGACAAAGGACTTGAGTGAAGAGGGACATCTGTGATGTCACGACAGCACAGTCAGACAACAGTCAGACAACAGTCGTACCTGCTGCCTGTGTGGTCCCGGAGGCCCTGGACACGGGGACAGGCCACGGCTCAACTGTGTCCCCGGGTTTTCTCTCCTCTTCACACGGAGATGCAGCTCCTTCACAACAACAGAACCAAAAACCAACATTTTCACGGTGGACTTTTACCCTGTCAGTATTACTGTTGTTGTTCTGGACATGTCAATCAAACAGGGATTATTTTCCTCCGTTTGTTTACATGTGCAACAGATTCTAAATCACAGAATGTTATGACCTCAGTCAGGTTAAAGGTCAGTGCCCATCACTGATCTCTGAGAGAGAAACCAAACGTTTGTCTTTTGCTCCTGTTAAGACACGTGGTGAATGTTGACTGACAGGAGGTTTATTACTGATGACTGAGGTTTGATATGGGGCTGTGGTGGTTCCCAAACTGTGGGGCAGGGTCACTGCCTGCTTCATCAGACTCAGGCTTCATCTTCAGAACTAGAGGAGAGTCGGTGGAAAAATGACCTGTGGAGCTGGGAGCTGCGTGACATCCTCTCTGTGGCTTCCTGTTGAAACGGTTCTCCACTGGTGACGGCACACAGAGCCTGGGGCTACGGTGGGAACACACACACACACACACACACACACACACACACACACACAGATCATGACCTGAAACTCTGGATGAATTCCAGAAACATTTGAACATGAAAACATGTGGAATCAGTCACCCGTCCTGTGTCGGCTGACAGCGAGACAGGTGTCCCCTGAGTGCAGACTGTATCGTAACCACAGCAGCAACGTCACCGTCATCACATGCAGGTGGAGCTGCTGCTGCTGCTGCTGATGCTGATGTCTGGAGAATGAGGAGGTGAAGGTGAAAACATGGCACAGTCGCAGTACTGTAAGAGTTCAAGGGAAGATGTGTGTGTTCCGTGTGTGTGTGTTCTGAGGTGGACCTTTCTCTCAGAGTCCTTCAGCAGGTCCTTCAGCTGTGATGCTCTGAGGAGATGGCCTCTCATCACCGACTGCAGCATCACAGCGTCCTTCAGAGAGAAGAGCTGTTCAGAGAGGGTGGGGGGTGGGGGGCTGGGGGGGGCTGAGTGTTCAACATGTAACACAGTCAGGGCCACGTGTTCTGTCACACACACACACATACACACCTTCTCTCTGTGTTCCTTCCACTTCCTCTGGATGGTTCTGGCTGCCTTTTCTTTTTCTCTACGGGGCCTTTTATCGCGTCTCTTCTTCTCTTCGTCACTTCTGCATTCCTTCCCTCCATCCTTCAGACCTGATTTGCTTAAACCGTGGTCGCGGTCCACTGCTGTTGTGGAGCACAGTGATTGGTCAGATGTGACACGGTCGGCCTCCAGAGTTCTAATCCTCTCCCACAACTTCTCCAGCTCTCGTCTGTGGAACCCACACGACGACAAACAAAAGAAAATGACTTCAATTGAATCATAATCATTTTTGGATAAAGGACGGAAGAAGAAGAAGAAGAAGAAGAAGAAGGAGATGAAGAGGACAGAGGACGAGTGGTTGAGGTCACAGGATCGTCAGCTGGATTCATCTTTCACTTGGAGTTGAATGGTTTTTTTTTTCATGAACACAGATATTTCAAACGTACTTTTGCTGCTGTCTCTCTTTTTCACGTCTCCTTGTTTCCTCTCCTTTCCTCCTCACTGTCTCCTCCTCCAGTCTGTCTCTTTCTGTCCTCAGTTGTCTCAGTTCATCACTGTGAAAACCACCACAGGACGTTGATGGACTTCCTGGTTGTTCAACACACACACACACGTCGTTGTCATGTTGCTGCACACTCACTCTTTACTTGTCAGAGTCTGCTGTAGCTCCGCCCTCTCCTTCTCTAATTGGCTGAGGCGCTGTCTCAGCTTGGCGACTGCGTCCTTCTCTCCTTCAGCCGTCGCTCCCACTGAGACCTCCGCCTCTGTTGCTATGGTGAAGCCTGGACAATCAGTGGGCGTGGCCTGGACCCCTACATCCAATTGGCTGGGACTCCTCTCTGACTGGGCGTGTCTTTTACTGCCTCCCCGCCTCTGATTGGGTGAGAGAGAAGGAGCCTGTAAGTGGTGAAGCCACATGTTTACGTGAAGGAGCTCAGCTTCATCTCACCTTCTCCACCTCCAACAATCTCCGCAGCAGTCTCTGTTTGCTCCACTCCCTGTAACCTGGGGAATGGAACAAACATCCCATAATTACTTTGGTGTCAGGTTCACAGCGTTTTATTAACTCTCAAGTCAAAGACCTTTGAGCCCTCCAGCAGGGCCGTCTGTGTCCAGTTCCTCTCTCAGGTCAGCGTTCTCCTGTTGAACTTCCCTCAGGTTCTCTGACAGACGGCGCACCGTGGAGCTCAGAACCTTCTGCTGCCTCTGAGAACATTTGCTCTCGGCTCGACCGCTACAGGAGGGAGGAGAGGACGACGAAGCACCGTTAGAACAACAGCGTTCATCTCAGGAGCCGACGTGCGACTTGGTCTCGTCTTCACTCACACCTTTTCTCCGCAGCCTCCAGGAGCGCCCTCAGACCTTTGATCTTTGATGGATGAAATAGAGAAAAGACATCAGGGACGGTAGGTGGTCACATGACCATCAGAGTGACGGCTGACAGCGAGCGTTACCTCCTGGGAGTAGGTTTCCACCGTGACCTTCAGCTCCTCCAGGTTGGTGCTCCTCAGCTCACCTTGGAGTTTACTGAAGAACAGAGAAGCAGAATTCACACTCATTCACGTGTGGAGAACGTGAGCAGATGTTTCTGTCGTGTTTTTACCTCAGGGCGTTTTCCTTCTCTCTACACTGCTGTTCCAACTTTAGGATTCTCTGCTTCAGGCCGTTGAGGATCTGGACTCACAGAAACAGAACGTTAACGTGTAAAGAAAGGAGTGTTTTCAGCAGCACAGTGGACAAACTCACCACGCTGCCTTCCTTCCTCTTGTCCACCAGACTGCGAGTGAACTCCGGAGCCTGAAGACGGAGCAGTCCTCTCATGTTTGGGTTGAAGTTGGTAAAGAACAAAGTTCATGTGTGGAACACAGTCATACCTTAGTGGGATCCAACAATTCTTCTATTTGCTTCTCTCTTTTAGCATTATCCTCCTCTAGGCGGCGCAGTTTCACCTTCATCTGCTGATTGTCAGATTTCTGAGTCTGCAGATTCTGAGGAGAACGTTTGAAACCAAACATTGAACATTTATAAACTGTTCAGTGACAAATAGATTTTGTTAAGACCATATAAATGCTCATCAACAGTCACAGATAAACGGTCACGTGACATTCATTCATTTATTTAATGACTACCGTAATTTCCGGACTATAAGTCGTTACTTTTTTTTCCTACACTTTGAACCCTGCGGCTCAAACCCTGATGGGTCGGATTTATGGACTTTTTATGGGCTAACGAAGTTCATACGACTAGCGACCAATGACTGTCCTGGGGGGTGTGCTGTACTGGTCAGTCTGTCTGTGAACGGCAGCTACAGCTGAGAGCAGTTTGAGTTTTATTTTCTGGTGTCCAGAAATGACGGTACTGAAGTCCTGTCCTGTCAATCAGGAGGAGTGAACAAAGATTTCTGGATTTTTTAAACGTCAACTTTACCTTCTTGAGGCGAATGATCTCATCATACATGTCTTCCTTGTCTCTGTAGTCACCTGAGGTCATGGTGAAGCCTGCAACAACAACAACAACAACAACAACAACAACAACAACAACAACAACAACAACAACACACAGTCAGACATTCAACATGGTTTTTCATTAGAAAACTCAATCCACTGGTTCTTCTCTCACCATTGGCTGCAGGGTGGAGATGTTTGTGTTTCCTCACGCCCAGCGTCTGCCTGAGAAGCTCTGGAGTGACCTCACACACCGACCTTAGCGTGTGGGACAGGTCTTTGAACACAGAGATCAGAAGAACATGAAAGTCATCCACGTTACCGTCTAAGCAGCTTCAAAATCTGAAGAACTGTCGGAGCTGCTGAGGCTCCGCCCCTCGAGCCACAGGGTCCACGCCGTGTTTACTACCGTGGCCGTTGCTGAGGGACGACAGATGAGCCGAGTCACTTTCCCCGGGGCGTTCACGCCTCGTGTCCCCAGGAGACGCCCCGGACGGTCTCCAGGCTGCCACTGCTGCCCTCCTGGAAATGGTGTTGAGGCTGGAGAGGTACGGAGACCCTGTGTGCACGGTACGTCCGTGTTACAGCAACAATCACGGACGTTGGAAGGAAGTGACGTTTCCACAGAGCAGCTGAGAGTCTTACGTGCAGAATGTGGAGGTTTTCCAGAAGATCTTTTTCTCCTTGTTCTCTGGTGGAGGAAAAAAAACCAACAGAACAGAAACCAACATCACTGTCCTCCAGAAAAACCCAAAGCCACACAGACATGTGGAGAGCTAACTACTGACACACTCCCCTTACCTTTTCTGAACTATCCACTGAGAAAGAAGAGCCGTCCTCCACCTCCGCAGTTAGGGTTGGGTTATTGTTACGTTAGTGAGAGAGAGAGGAAGAGAGAGAGAGAGAGAGAGAGAGAGCATGAGAAAAAGTTTGTCACAGAACAACAAACACAGAAATGATGAGGATCAGTTTATAACTGTAAGGTCCTTTTGAAGACACAGCAAAACCCTGAAAAATCAAATCACTCTAAACCTGCTGTGATACATGACACTTTAATATGACGAAAACAACGTTTTATCTCGGCTTGTTCTCCTGGATGTTGTTGTTGTAAATGTCTCTGTGCTGCTGCGACACAGTCCGGTCAATAGAGTCCAGCCTTAAACCTTGTGGACATGAGGACATGAGGACATGTGGATGACAGACTCACCAGCTCCTCACAGTCTTCGTCCGTTTGGACATCACTCGCCTCCAGAGACATTTTTTCAACAGAAGTGAACACGGAAGAAAACACACGCCCGTTACGTCGGGAGACTTGACCTGAACTTTCCCTTCGTGAACATGTTCACGGTTCTTCTCCAAATCAGAACCGGCTGCTCACTTCACGTCCTGTCGCTGCTGTCAGTAGTAAAAACGGAGCTAAATGCTACAACTCCACACGTTAGTCGGCGACACTGCGGGTTTCCTGGAGTTAGAGCCGGTGTTTCGTGTGACAGACGCCGACAGGAACAACTTCTACTCCGCTAATCTGTGCGTCGTCGTCGTCGTCCTGTTTCCGAGCAGCGTTAGTGTTTTCACGTCAGTGTTGGAGATACGAGTCGTCTAGCAACCAGGACAACTGTTAGCGAAGGCTGTAAAGTTAGCGACAAAAAGTTACAGCGGAACAGGAAAAGGCTTAACCCGTTTTTCAAAATAAAACTACAAACAAGCAAAAATGATCAGTTCACAACGAACGATCACAACTACGTGTTCGTTGTTTTATTTCGAAGAACGTTCTGATTATTATTTGATTTTTAGACTTGATTCAATAATGGATTACATGAGTTAATATGGACACGGAGGGGTCTTTTCTGGACCTTCCTCCACACAATAACACTGTCAGAAGAAGACGTTTGTCACCATTTTATTGTAGCCTATTCTCAGTCATATTGTTGGTACAGGTGGTGGAACCCCGGGGCCGAGCGGAACGACTGAGCGGAGCACCGTGGAGCAGGGAAAACACCACGGATACAGCTCAACTAAAACCACAGTACGACCACCTCACTGAAAAAAACAAGAACAAGAACAAGAACCAAGAACCAAAGCCTTTCACTTGTATAGACTATAATAATAATAATCATCATTATTATTAATAATAAAGTTATTGTTTAAACTTCTACAGCTCCAGACGTCATCTTTAAATAGAACGCAGTTTGTTTATTCTTATGTACAAAGTTGTTTGTATTCAAATGTTTTCACGTTGATTTTTACAATATCAACAATAACGATATTTAGTCCGAGTGTCTTCACAGTTGCAGTTGTTTTCCCTCAAACTGTACAGTACTCACAGCACCTGCTGTAACTGTGCCTGACTGAATCTGGTGTAATTATATGGAGATCCACACGAGGGCGATGAGGTGTGTACAAGCTTTGGTGGGGCATGATCAATAAGATCAATAATCCAGAAAGAAGGACTGTTAGAAGGATTGTTACAAAACGAGCCTGAACATATTTCAATACATATTTTATTCAGTCCAGTGAACATCTCTGCATTATTTGGCATCTGGAAAACTTACTGCCACCTAGGGGTCAACATGGCACTGAGAAGAAACTTGGTCATTTGCCATCAGGAAAAAACTTTTTTTTTTAAACTCCAGAGTTAACGCACTCTGAACAGAAGTGATTTTCACCAACGATAATATTGTTATTCCAAACCTTCAAGCTCTTCTCACTCTGTTTGTGACGTCATGACGTTTTATTCCATCCTTTCTTATGAGGAAGCGAAGAGTTTGATTGTCATCATGACTGATCGAATGTGAAGACAGTCCGACACGATGACGTCCGTTAATCATTAACGGTCACGTGACCCTGGGACCTGGAGGATGTCAGTGTGAAGATCGTTATCAGCTACAGCTAAAAGTTTACTATAACCAGACAGGGTTAGTACAAGTTAGTTGTAGTAGTTAACCAGTCACACACACACACACACACACACACACACACATCTGTGGATGAACCTGTGTTTCTTTGACTGATGTGATTTGAACACTTCATAGACTGGATG